ACTTATTTTCAAAAGCTAATAAATTTCCCAGAGCGGAATTTTTTTATTTTTCCACAAAAGAATAAAAAAAAAAAAAAAAAAGAAAAATCTATGAAATACATGATGAAAAAATACACGTGACTACACGTGTATGTATACATATGTACACATGCACGTGCACGCACACACGCACAATTTTTTTTTTTTTTTTTGAAAAATGAAACACGCGTTATGAAAAAGGCTCGGGAAACCTAATCAACCTTTTCATTAAGTATATAAAATATATTTAAAAACGATCCTTCTTTTTCTTTCCCCTCACCTTCCCTTCTACTCCTCCCCTTCCTCCTCCTTTTCATTTTTCATAGCGTGCACGATTCATCGCTTTTTCGGTGAAGAGGGGCGGGGAGAGAGGGGAGGAGAAAAAGTTTAAAATTTTAATTTTCTACTCATTCATCATTTTTCCAGATGAGAAAATACTGCTGCCCTATTTACAACGGGGGGTGGGATGGGAAATTGGGATGGGGGAAGGGAAGGGAGGAGAGAAAAAAGGTTTCGGGATTTTTCCCAAAGAGAACCCAGGGTGGAGAAAAATTGAAAAAGAGAAAACGTAAGCAAAAAAAGAAAAAAAAAAGAAAATTAAAAAGAAAAAAAAAACCTTTCCATTTTCTTCTCCTCCTCTTCTTCCTCCTCCTTCTTCTATTTTTTTTTAATCGAAAAATAATAATAATGATAATAATGATAATAATGATAATGAATAAATAAATAAAATTATTCTATAGAAAAACCAATGAGCAAGATTTTTTTTTCACGGTAATTAAACAAGAGCTTTCATCTCTGTTTCTCCCCCCTCTCTCTTTCTCTCTCTCTCTCTCTTGTGCTGTTGGAAAACATCAACTTAAAAGCAAGCACACGACGGGAAAGTTTTTTTTTTTTTTTTTTCAATTTAATAATAATAATAATAATAATACCAATCAACTAAACGAAAAAAAAAAAAAGAAAAAGTATCGATTATCGAGATGAGATTTCGATATATCGCGCTTTAAATCGTGAAGGGTTTAATATTATTATTATTATTTTTTATTCCTTTTCTTCTTTTTCTTCTTTTTTCCGTTTATATTCAAACGCTAAAAAATCTATCGAGTTTATTTATTCATTTTTATTTTTTTTCTTCTACGATTTAAACAAAACAAAATAAAAAAAAATAATAATAATTATCAATAAATTTAAAGTTTTTCAATTTTCCAAAAAAAAAAAAAAAGGCAAAAGGAAAAGGTTTTTCCTTTATCTAACGTCTGATTTCATTTAAATTTCCCCCCCCAAAAAAAAAAATAAATAAATTTTAACTTATCATAGAGATAGAAAACACAAGTAAATATTTATGTTTTTTTTTTTTTTTTAAAATTTTCCTTTTAAACGTGTCAAAAGACAAAAACGAAAATTTTCCCTATTCCGACTACGTTGTTTAAATGTATATTTTCCCGCCTTTTTCCCTCTCTCTCTCTCTCTCTCTCTCTTTCTCCCTCCCCTTACACTTTAAAACTTTTGCGAACCACACGGATAACGAATGAACCGCACGCATTAAAACGAAAACAAAGAAAACAACAAAAGCAAACAAACAAACATCAATTTTTCTTTACAACTTTCGCGCGATTAAAAATAATAAGGAAAATCGTGTTTAAAAAATTTCAAAATGGCGGCGACGACAAGAAAATAATTTTCCAAAAACACAAAAAATAAAATAAAATGAAAACGAAAATGAAATAATATTAAAATACGAACACACACAAACAAACGAACAAACAAACAAACAATACCATTCGTTATCTTTATTATTATTAATAATAATAATAATAATTTTTTTCTACAAGATAACTGAGGTTCCTCAATAGTCATGATAATAATAATAATAATACAAAATTACGATGTATTTAAATTATACGAGTGAAAAGAAAAGAGAAGAGAAAAAAAAATCGAGTCGGAAAATTACGGGGAAAATT